TTTATCGCGACTTTAGCATTTTCGTACAGGACAATACTATATAAATACATATCAAAGAACCCGAGCAAAGCGAGGGCGAGTGGCTGTATAACATAAAGCCAAAGATTTTTTTTGTATATTGAACGCGGGTGTAGCCGCGGGTTCTGCTAGTAATAATATATATTCCTAATAGCAATAGTCGCGGTATTGTGTAACTTAGAATCATGCACGTTTTATAACAGTAAAAAATATATAGAAGAAAATTCATTAGTCATCAAACCCACGTCCGCCGCAGAGGCGCCGCGAATCAAAAATGGGTAAAAACTCGACTCATGCTACCATAAGCTGTTTAATTGTGTTCTTACCCTCCCATAGCTACTTGGGGAAGTCACGCTCACGACTACCTGGCTAACCACCATTTCTAATTGACCTCCGACCCTCTTTTGGCTTTATCAAAATACCAGAAAGTCAAGGACCAACTTAATTGTGGTGTACATGGGAAATTGACAAAAGGATTTCTCTTTGCGTTTCATCTGCATTTAACAAAGTAAATCATTGGGAATGCTTCAAATCATACTTTAATTTGTATGCAAATTTTAATATCACTTATTTATAAATCTGCCATTTAATTCTTTATTTAAAAATATATAATTTAAAATTTGTCCATTATATAGGATTTCTAACCGCAAACATAAAAACCGAAAATTCTTAAGTTCTAGCTGTGATACATAAAACAAGCCCTTTGAAAATAGTGCACAGATTTTCCTGAGACGGCAGGCGGGGAGCCCAATGGAAATGACATTTCAAAAGCGGCTTGGCACGGCCTGAGCTATAGCACAGACTATTTTACATATACGGATGTTTCGCACGCACGTTCCCGGCGCAACGTCGATAAAAGTGGGCGTGGTCGTCGCCATCGTATCCACCAATCAGAAAGCGACGTTGCACGTTTGCGTACAGCGCCCTTTCATGTGTGCCGCGTACCGGACCAGTGTGCGTGCCTTGGCGTATTGTATATGGGCGTACATAAGTATACGCCGGCTACCGGCTTCACAAAGAGTTCCCATATCTTTTATGTTCTTAGATTCTTATCTCGCGGTTTCTTATTTTACATTTAAGATGGTGGTCGAATTAACGGTCGGCCCCATAAACACGCCATAACAAACTTTAATATGCCTGTAATACGAAATAATCTGTGATTTTTATAGCTTATACTCCACTAATAGGTTGTTATAGATCCCAAGATAGCAGATGTAATTTTTTGGAAAATAATTATTCATGAGCCATGTTGATTGAATTGTTAATCGTTACTAATTGTTGATTATCTCGGTAGATATAATGTTTATGCCATGTAATAACAGTATTAGGTATGTGCACTCGTACATAGACGATGATGTATGGATATGTGATTCTTATGCATTGAAATGGGCACGAAGATTTATTACAGTAGGTTTATTTCAGGTGGGAGTTATTAAATTCAAATCTATTCATGCTGACCTAACAATTTCCTGGTAGGTAATTTCATCATTTTAGTAAGAATACAGCTATGCAAAATCAATTTAGAGTAATATAAGAGAAAAAAATGGCTACCTAAGAAAACTTCATATTCTCTAGAAAATAATATGTAAGTAGTTTTCTTATATACCTACCTACTACTAAGTTACTAATCTGCTTAAGATTTACCTAGTGTCTATTTATAACTTTAATCGTTCTCTTTTTAACTTTAATTGTAGTTTATAAACCAAAGCAAAAAGCCGTTTTCATTACAAAAAAGCTCACCTATATAAAAATATATGGAGTTAGAGGTGGGTACGTGTTTTATTTTAAATATGATATTCCATTCAAAAGTATCAAATTTATTATAATGCATAGTAACAACGGATCACTTTCGTCCAAAAATACTATCTACATTATAGATACTCGTACATACATATATGTATGTATATTGTATAGATGTAAGTAGGTACGTGTACCTATAATGTAGATGGGTCAAAATTTTGCTAGGTAGGTATGATAATTATTTTCTTTACACGCAACTATAATCTTTTGTCAATTAATTTTAATTCGGAATTGAAGAAGCCACAAAACTATTTAAAATATCAAAGAGAACGATCGTTGAAAATCGTGGACAATAAAAAGCAGTTTTGCCGCTAAAATTCGATTAGGGGAAGAGCGGGACAAAAGAAATCGTTTATTTGGGGCGGCTTGAAATTGATTTCAGGAACAGGACGCGTAGGTATACTTGACGTTTTCAGGAAAATTTGATGTGAAATATTCAAATTTTCTAAAAACGATTTCGCTTTAATTTTTATAAGACTGTCTGTGAAGTTTGGAGAGAGTTGGCAAATAATACATATTATTAAAGAAACTTAATCTGTTTCTATCAAAATAATGCAGCAATGTAAAATATTATATAACTACCTACCTATACGAGCATATTCTGTAGCTTTTATAAGAATAATTACTTGCTACATGAAGATAAAGAGTTAATTTCGTGAGTTCGTGCCTATGTAGAAGGTAAACTCCGAAACTAGATCCGACGATAGTTCTACTTGACTAATAAAGAAAATCATTAGAAATATACCTAGCTACTACTAAAGTATTAACTCCTAAATTAACTTAAATATCTATTGGTACATATAATAAAATTCTAACTGAGTCGAATTTGTACATTAAATATTTTTTTGGAAAATCTTATTGAAATAGTCGTTATTATCGATACAGAGGCCGAATCTATAGTTTTTAGTCTTTTTGTCTATCTATCTGTCTGGGCACGCATCACGAGAAAACTGCTGGACAGATTTTGATGAAATTTGGTAGCTCGTTATCCGGTTCAAAATATAAGAGATTTTTTATTGCGGGAAAATATCTCATCTCTGAGATTCCTATACTAAACGTTAAAACGTAAATAGGGACGAGCACGAGCGGAACGAGAGTGAGTCGCTAGTTTATTACTAAATAATTAAAAAAAAGAAAATTTGAAATCCCTTAAAACACTAACTGAGATTCGTTGAGATATTATTATTTTGTTTACACTTTTCACGTACAGGATAAAAAATATCACCTAACATAAATAAAACAATGAAACTCCAAAAACTATTTTCATCATCAATAATTTCAAAGCAACCACTCAAGTTTTTACAAGCCCTAGAGTAGAGTGTTTATTCAGAGGGTGCGAGTGCGACCTCTTTTGCCCGGGCGTTTTACTTTCAAGTGTTTGCGAGAACTGAGTGCGATCTGATCTTAAAACAATTGAGGGTACCTTCTCACGGTACCCAATATCGGTATTAGTAGGTACGAATAAAGTATACTTTTAATGAATATTTCAAATAATACTTACATATGTATAGGAACTCTATACTAATATATAGATAAAGCGAGTTTATTTGTTTGGATGCACATATTTCTGAAATTAGCAGTCTGATTTTAAAAAATAAGTATTGTATAGCCTATTTATCCAGGTAGGTTATAGGTTAGGCTACCTAACACCGGATATGCCACAATTCTTAGAAATTATACTAAAATAAAAAACGCAGGCAGAGTCGTAGGGCATTTCTGGGCAATTCTGGTAAATGGTAATACTATGCCCAAGGTTTTAGTTCATAAATACGTTGTGCCTATTACTATATTTCTGTGTACGAACCCCAATAATGATTTGCACTATTATAAGAAGGGGCCAGTCAGATTCAGAAAAAGTTGTAAGATTAATAGAAGTCAAGTTTAATAAGCCGCAACTCATTGTCGGCATGTAATTTGGTTTCTAGGGACGTATTATTTCGAAGTAGCTATACCTACTTATAATATAATATGTACTTATACTAATTACCTAACATCTTAACTAAAAAGCCGTTAAGTAAAGCACATAAAGTAAAAATAAAGTACAATATTCAGACTTTAGTTATACTAAAGTAGGAAGTCAAAGCAAAACTCATTTTGGTAAATTAAACGCTTGCTTTTAAAATAATTAACGACCCTATTCCCTTAGAAAATCTACTAATACAGTTATTTAAGTAGAATATCATAATAAAAGTAGAATATAGGTAAGTAAGTACCTACTCGTGTCACGGTTAATGCTATATGTAAACCTAATAGTGAACTCATCTAACGACAGATGTTCAAAGCTACATCGCCTCGAGCAAAATATTGATTGCCAGTTTGTAGACAGCGTTATTTAAATAAATGTGTATACAATTTTAATACTTTAAATTTAGATAAATATATTAAAGTTGTATAAGCGACTATTCTTATAAAAATTGTATAGGTACGTGGTTTTTTATAAAAATCAATTTTTTATATGATTTTGACTCTATATTGGTCCATTTCTACCAGAAGTAATTGTTTTTTGCGGTTAATTTTCTTGGTGGGGGAGTCTCGAAATTACATTTTTATTCAGTTAAACGGACGAGGGTTGCACGATTGCTTTTTGATAAGTCAATTTTAGGTCGTATAGGGCATGGCATGGTTATTACTAGATATTGTATGCAAATATTTTAAAATTAGATACGCTGAGGGGCAGGAAATTGAAATTATATGTTATTTCCTACTTAAAAGAAAAAAATACTGTGCTTACCTTTTACAGTTTTACACTACGCATTTATGCAAGGTAAAACGTCTTGTAAAGCTTTTATGTTAGACCGTTTAGAAGTTAATAGTTATTTATTATTCAGTATGTTTGCCTTCATAATAACATGATTACTTGATAAATCCTCAATGTAGGTACCTACTATGTGATTCAGACATGGTGATTCTACGTGAAAGAATATATTTTAGACAAGGTTTAATAATTGGGGGGATTAGGTAACCTTTACAAACAAACCAAAGAAAAATTATTATTTGCTATTGCCCTATATGTATCTAGTAAAAATACCTATATACTAATAAGAATAAGGATTAGTAGCTTTTAAATATTTCAAAAAAATACGAGCGCCATATAAACATAGGTACTACATTAGAGATTAGTAACATTTAGTTATTTTCTTACTTACCCTTTTTAATCATATGTATTTTTTTAATAATATTAGCGGATTCCCTACTCGGCTCCGGATCAGATGAAGAGGAAGAGGATGAGTCTAGAACAGCCAATAATTCAAGCAGTCCAGCGCATGCGCCGCACCCCGCGCTACATTCAGATCTCTCCCACAACGGAGATACAAAACCACATGAGGATTCTGAGGACCAGGTTGGTATTGTTTGGATATATTTATCATAACGTGTGGTAAATATATATGACCAACTTATTTCTCTTTTTTATATAGGTTTTTATATAAGAAGTTACCTAAAACTTTAATTTTCTCATACAAATACCTAAATGCTTGCAAAATATTAAAGCCTGCTTAAAATAAATATTTCATAGTAAAATTACCATTCCATATCACATGCATGAGGCTAGACCACATAGTCGGATTCAGTTTTTTTTCTTTGCCACCCAGGGTTCACTGGACGGTGATCCAGAGACCAGAGACTCGCAAGCGGAGAACAAGTCACCTGATGATGGCAATGGTGGCTCGAAGCGAAGAGGACCAAGAACGACGATAAAAGCCAAGCAGTTAGAAATACTCAAATCTGCATTCTCACAAACACCGAAACCTACAAGGCACATACGGGAGCAATTGGCGAAAGAAACTGGTCTGCCTATGAGAGTTATACAAGTAAGTCCACTTTTATTTATTTTATATTGAAAAAGTAGTTTTATTTTGTAAAACACATTTTTTTAATGGTTTAGTTTTTGCGAAAAGAATGACGCATTCAATAAAATTGTGTCATTTCGGTGTGAATTTGCAAGATTATGACCAATAATTTATATTGCGATATAAATGGATAAAAGTAAATTATTTGAGTCTAGATGAAGTTTCATAATTTCTAGACCCGTAACTTAGATCTATTTTAAATGACCTTGATAGGACTTTGGTAACGAGAGCTAACTTATCAATAGAAACTTCGAACTTTGCTATATTTTGTAATTAGTCGTTCACCATTGATATGATAATCGATTACGCTAACATAACCTAATACCTACATATTATGTAACTACAATATATTCTATAGTAATGTCTAACTAGAAATTTCATTACAATTTAGTTACATTTATTCAGTGGTGGTGATGGGATTTTTTATTTATAAAGTGTCTCATTAATCAAAATCAAATGCAATTTTTTGGTAAAAATCGATTTTATTCAAGTATCTATTCATCACACGGCAAACATTTCACCGGTAACCGGTAACCGTTACAAATGGCGGCCACTCCATCATGGCGGCGCCTGAAATCGTTCGCAAATTGAATATCGCGCGCTCATCCGTTCAGGAACGCCAGCGCTGACGTGACAAATAACCTAATTACAGACTATATCGAGTGTGGCATAACATATTCCTATTTCGATTTTGTTTCCTTCAAAAAAAACAGACAGAGAGATATTCTCTTCTATATGATTAATTATCGCTTTCAATTTTAATATCCAATTAGAAAATAATATGTCTTCAATTTTTATTTTGCGAAAATATTTTTTGCCGAAAGCTAGAATTAAAAAAACAGTTGCCAGTAAATTTATTTAAAGAGTGGATTTTTTGTGATTTTATTTTTGTGTTAGTAAATCTTTTAACGTTGAAATCGTTAATTCCGTAACCGCTAATATTTTTTCCTGATTTTAGCACAGTGATTAGTTAATTTTAATTCTAATCTAACACATGAATCCTACAATTTTCTACGCCATAGTAACAGATGTTAAGATCGACCGTTTCGGTCACGCTTTTTATGCCCCTTCCTCTTTGTCTCAGTTTTTGTCGATTTCCGAACGAAAAACGATTTACGTTTTACGGCCTCTGCGCAATGTTTGTAAACGTATTGCATTTAGATTTTAGATGTTACTATAATGATTTTTTGATGATTGATTTGTAATTATAATGAAATAAGCTAATCCAGATGTATAATTATTATTCATCTATTCATCACTTAACATGAATTACTTCTAAGTGGTAAATCTAGCGGACCCTACTATATGTCTGAAAGAGATTATTTTAAGATAGTATATTTTTATTTGGGTTTTAAATACAATTTAATAATTAATAATATATGTCATAGTTTTAGCGCAATTTTGTTAATAATCATTTATTTTATAATTAAGCTTAAATTACTTATTCTTGTGAATTTAAACATAATAAAATCAAATATTCATGTAGGAACGAAATGTTTATATAATGATAAATGATAATTATAGTACATTAAGTATCTATATCGATTGTGATGAAACTCAAAGAAAATATCATATTTTTTATAGGTACAATAAGATCTTATAGCTAATAGAGTCTTGAACGCTGGGTGCAAAAGGATAAATATTTGTATACAAGTGTTGTATCAATATTAGTTCAACAATGTCGAGTATGTTAAGTGGGTTCATAAACAACATTTTTTGCTGCCATCCGTCAAGTCTCGCCAGATCGCGCGTGTCCAATGCTCACACCACATGTGGCTTAACTGTATGACTTTTTGTATGAATATTTCGGATTTAACTAGTTAACACCGGTTCGTGTGAACGGTTAAAGATGCCGACTATGCCGCTTTGATGTTCCATATGGTAATTTTTAGTTTAATCATCGTTTTATTATTTAAATTATAATTTTGATTTCCAATTAACGTTATTTAAGTGGGAGCGGTGATAGTTGTACTTATGAAAAACATTTTCTTAAATTCTAATAATATAGTACTTTAATATAAATTTTAATATTTTTGATGCTTATTGTCTTATTTCATATTTGTTGTTTGTTTAAAATATGTTAGTGTTCAGTATTTATTTTTAACTCATAGCTCGTAATTCTTCAAAGGAAGTCCAACAAAACAAATGTAACCGCGTCACTTCACCTTAACGCGATGTCATCCAACCGCGAAACAAAAAAAGTAGATATTTTAATAAGTTCATATATCGTAATTCCTTCAGCGTGACGGCCCTGTCGTCGCACGATGCGCCCTTATTGGCTCATATTTTATTTTGACAGGTCATATAGTTAGCGTATAGTCAGGGCTGTCGATATCTTTATATAGGTATGTTAATTAATATTGATTTTGTAAATATTGTCCTCTGTCGTGGTCTTCATTTTATAATTAATCACAATATTTTTCCGTTTTGTTTATGTTTTGCGTTTCTACACTTTATATTATACCTATAATTGTATATAAATAAGCTGTAGTAAAATAATTTTTAAAAGTGTATAATATTTTATTAAAATTAACTGAAATTTAAGTCGTAATAGTTTATTTAAATTAACGATTTGTTAAACTTCCTATGGTAAAAACATGAAATGTACCCTAAATGCAAGTAGGGCCACCGTTAACAGTTAGGTACTTCTTCACAAAACTTTAATTCAATAATGGTATTACCTATTTTAATTCTATCTTACAACCATCAACGCCAAATGTTGACGTGTCATTTGTCTCGCCTCGGAATTCCGTCGATGACAATTTAATGATATTTCTTAGTTGGGACAAATTGTGTGAGTGTTATATTTAAGAGTGTAATAGAAAACAGGATCATTTTTAATTTACTGAAAACCTTTTGGGAATATACTATTTACATCATAGCAACAACATCTGTAACAAGAAAAAATTATATTTCTTAAATTTTTATTTTCATACAAAAATAATAATATTTTTTTTCACCTTCTAAACGGTAAAGACCTAGCATCTAGCCAAGTTTAAATGAGTAAGGGCCACTTCCTACACCCCTCCATCCCTCCCCCTCTACCGGTCACGCACTTTTTTTGCTAATTGCTGGTCTATTACCGTTTAGAAGGAACAATAAAAATACTTTTATTTTTGTAAAATTTAAGAAATATTTTTTTTTTTCTTACAGATGTTGTTGTTATGATGTAAACAATATATTTCCAAAAGGTTTTCAGTAAATTAAAAATGACCCTGTATAAATAGATAATATAATAGATTAAGTAATTATTCCCTTCGATTTAATTAAGAAAATGAAACACTTTGTTTATATAATCGAAGATAGAGTATAAGATTAAGTTCTTCCCTAGGTATGGTTAAACGGTTAGTATGGAATAGATAGACTATCAATATATAAAATATGACTTATACTATATAGCCTATAGCCTTCAACAGACGGGCTAACTAATGCTAAAAGAATTTTTCAAATCGGTATAGTAGTTCCTGAGATAAGCGCGTTCAAACAAACAAACTCTGCCTTTTTATAATATTAGCCTATAGATAAATTTTAATATGCATTAAATTAACAAATATCGTTGGCAATGTAATCTTATACCAACTTAACAATGATTATATCTTTAGTGCTAGTTAGTATTTTAGTTAAGACTTTGTTGCATCCATAACATGTGACAGATAAAATGTACCTATTATGCAAAAGTACAAATAAATTATTTACACCTATTTATTAACTTACTATGAGAAATGTCATCGGTGTATAGTTACGTATTACAAATTGCCTTATTACAGAAAATAATATTCACCGCACGTTCACTTGAATTAACATCTACAATTTAAAACACTCTCATTATTCATAACAAATTAGTCACTACACAATTCTGAACTTACGAGTACATTGATAAGTAGGAATTACATATAATTACGTGTCATTTGTTATGCATACTCCGATTAAAAACCGAAAAGTAAATCTCTCTCGCAATTAAAATGCCTCTAATTAGACACGTTGGTTGATTCGCTAGTTAGCGAAATAATTGTTAAAATTATATTAAAGAATACTCGGAATTTGGAAAAAAATAAAAGTAGTTCTAGCCTCTTTCTAAAATACCGTTTGATTTTTGCGTGAAACAAATTTAATTTTAGTGAATGTGTCATGTCTAACACCAGTTTGGGAAGAAAAAGGCTTAATCCTAAGAACTTGCTTAAAAATATCAGCGGGACAAAAAAATTTTAATCTTTTTTTGTAGGATACACCAAAAACACAACAAAGTAGAAAATCGAATTTTTCAATAGAGATATTTTTTATATTTACAATTTACTTGATGTTTTAATATATTTGTACAAAAATTGAAAAGCTTCCTTTAGTTTTAAAAGCGGATTTAGTTTGCTTGCAACGTTGGCTAGATTTCAATAATTTCGTGGATTAGGTACCTGTCAGATTTGAAAATTATTTTTGTCTATTATAGATAAAGGTTATAGGCTACCTACCCAGTAAGACGATAAAACTACGCGAGCAAAGTCCACAGGCAGAACTACATTTTTATAGGTCGTAATGTAGTTTTTCTCCAGACCGAGCCAACCTACGGCCAACCAAGTGCCCTGGACATTAGGTGAAAGTTATTTCCACACGGAAGCCACTGTCGTCTTTTGATTGATAGAGGCATGATAAAAACTTCGTAGACCGAAGAAGCTTATATTATTATGTCACTGCCAGAGCAAGTTATGACGCGCTCTGATAAATGTACAAAGCCTAATGTACTTGTCCTTGATTAGTTGGCTGTGGTCAGTTCACTCGGGGTGAGCACGTCGATTAACTGAAGCTAACGGGTGCTTTAATAGCAAAAAAATGATGCTAATGTTTAGAGGCATTTATGTATAATGATAAATTATTTATTTAATGATAGCTGATCTGTTCAAAATATTACTTAAAAGTTGTGAGATTGGTATTTTAAGTACCGCTTTTATATTATAATATCGCCGGTAGCT